GCACAGGAGTGTGAAACATGGGAGTACTCTATTTTTGTTCTCCCCTCACCCCTGACGCACCAGCAGATTTTTAGGTGTTAAATACTCAGCCATGCGCAGTTCGGACTGTTAGGAGTCTTTCACAGTGTTTGACAGTGACGGTCTGAAGATATTTTTTTCAGCCATAATGGAATTAAAAATTCAAGATCCCGAAACAAATATTTTGTATGCGTTACCCGAAGAAAAAAAATTGTTTATGAAAACATTTCAAATGATTTAATGAGCCAAGGATATACTGAACTGCCATGCAGTGCCAAGTAAAATGGAAGTCCTTAGTAAGAAGTTACCAATCCACAAAAGACCTTTAGGCTAGAACTGGTCGAGCTCCTACCAGATTTCATTTTTTTGAAGAAATCGATTCAATTTTAGAAACAAAGCCTTCCAATCAATGTGAACATTCCATTGAATCGAGTGAGGGCAATTGTAAAAACCAAGAGTCAAAAGATGGTAACCGTAGTGACGAAGTTGATAAAAGCAAGGAAATAAATACATCTGGCACAGAAAGTGAAAATGGAAATCCAAGGGCCAGGAAAAGAAAAACATTTGAAGAGAAAAAGTATATTCAAGAGCAAAAGAATAAAAGACATACAGAGAGAATGGAAATAGAAAAACAAAAATTAGAAAATGAGAGGGAGAAAATTGCTCTATTAAAAAAATATTTAGAAAAAGACAAATAGTACAAATGTTTGATTATTTATTTAAGAGGAAAACTATATTTTTTCAATTTTCATAAAAATAAAAATAAAAATTATTTTGATATTATTTCACAAATGTATCTAACATACAAAAAAAAAAGAAAAATAAAAACATTTGTATAATAGAAGTATATTTAATCTTCAAAAAGTTTTCTGAAAACTTCTGAGCGCTTATCTCCGTCGTGTGGAACTTCCAAATTTTCAGCTAAATTTCCATCGAAATAATTTAATTCTGGTTGGATATCTTGCTCTACTTCCTCCATTAAATCATTTTTTAGAATATTTCTTTGGTAATTAAATTAATACTTAAGTTTTCAAAATGCCTTAGCCTTCGAAATCTTCCTTGTAATAGTCCAAAGGCATGTTCAATTATAATTCTAGTCGATGATAATTTGAAATTAAACATTTTTTGTTCTTCTGTCAACCTCCCATTATCCTTAAATGGAGGGACTAACCATGGCAAAGATGGATATGCCGAATCGCCAAGTAAATAAAATCTTTCAAAATAGTCTAGATTTTCAGCTTTTCTATAAATGGAAGATTTTCGCAATAGGCGGGCATCGTGTAGAGATCCTGGTTCCCCACAATACACATCTAAAAACAATTTCCTATGATCACATATTCCTTGTACTAACACACTGTGATATCCTTTCCTGTTTACATAAACTTCATGTTCCATAGGTTTTTGAATTCTAATATGGCTTCCATCTATACAGCCAATAACGTTACTAAAGCCTTGCTTTTTTTTAAATTCAGCACAAATTTTTCTTTTCATTTCATTATTTGGCCATTTAATATATTTGTCTCGAAGACTTATGATAAAATTAATAACTGCTACCAGAATTCGGTGGGCAGTACTAATAGCAACATCAAAACGATCTGATATTTGACGAAAAGATTCAGTGTTTGCTAAATACCACAAAGACAGTAGTACACACTTCTCTGAAGACGTTCCTAGATTATTTGTGGAATGGGGGGCATAGTTTGTTACACTGAAAAACTCTAAAAACCAGAAAAAAGACGTAAGACGAACATTTTTTTTCTACATACCTATTAATCGATAAGCGGTTAAACGTGACAACCTAAAATGTTGCTTGAAAGTAGACTTCATAGCTAGGAACAACATTTTCAATAAAGGTAGATGACTTTAAGGTTTTTTTTTACATTAAAAATGTTCTCATCACTGTCATCATTACTACTGCTACTGGAAGAAAGTATATCAGCAGGTGGAGACAGAAGCCATTCCTTAAATTAATAATTTAATAAAATAGAAGGTAAATGTACGATATCAATTTTACCATGATCTCAGCGTTAAAAATTTTACTCATTTTTTAATTTATTATTGATGGGAAGTTGCGAACGAATTGAGATTTGAGGTTAATAATTTGATAGATACAGAAACAAACAATACGAATTTATGTTGGCGAGTATGCGTTCCAGTGCAAATAATATATATTGAGATGAAACCAGANAATATTACTGCATTTACTGCAGCAGTGGCTGTCGCTGTTGCAGCCGCAAAAGCCCATATCTTCGTGTACTGGGTCACGTGCCTAATTAGCCAATAAAAACAAAGGACGCATCTAATTGTTCGCTGTGCACACATTTTGTATATGAGGTTGCATATATTAAGGAGCGTAGCTCGCGTCGCAATAAATAATAATATAAGCTCCCAGATTTATTTTAGCGCGAGTACATTTGGATTCTTTAAATATTTTTTTGATATTTAATATCATTAAATATATAAAATTTTATGTGCTCTGCAGCTCCGCAGCTCTTATGGTAAAACCGCCACTGGGCGCCTTTATGTTTATTATTATGAAGATTGTTGTTATTTATTTATGAGACTCTTTCAATTGGGTGTGGGTTCCTAAATGTTCTATTTTATTACTTCGATTTTATCTTGAATATTAATTTGAATCTGTTATAAATTTTATTCTAATTTCTTATTTAATTTAACAAATTTCAATATATTGACAGAATTTGGCAGGTTATGGTTTTGTCACAATATACAATGATTATTGTAATGCTTATCCTAAATTATTGATTAAATAATAAATTCCCCCTTTTAGATTTGTACTACAACAGTGCATGAGTGTTTTTCTACTGTCTGAAGTTCAATTGAAATTTTGATATGAAATTTATATAGCGCTTTTTTTTAATTGAAATCTGCAAATTTGCTTATTTCGTGTCGAGACTTACAGTGAATTATTTCCTTCAGTATGTAACTACGATGTATTGCATAATCTGCTGCAAGTAGTCGTGCTGATCCCTCGTTGATTCCTCGTATTACGGCGGAAACTGTCGAAGTATCCCTCGTGCTGCCACAGGAACTTTTCCAAGTGAAAATACATTGCACTATAATTTTTAAATTCCATTTGTCACTTTTCTGTTTTAAATTTTTACAAATTCACCTAATATCAATTTGTTGTAGTTGTATTTATCACTTGTTGAGACTGCTGAATACGAATATTTACTAATTTGTTGAAAATAATAGCTTTCACTTGTTTTTTTAGGAGCAAAACTTGCGATGTTGCTGCTACAGGTAAACATGACAGACTGGCTCCCTCGAGCCCGGATATTGGTTTTATAGAACGTGCAGAACAATTGAAATTTGCTATGGAAACATAACAAACATATTTTTGGAATTTTATTTTTACAAATACTGACTTTTGAATGGATTTGGGATGCATGAACTTTACATTTTCAGATTCTTTGCATTTTTCTGTGTCTTTTGACACTAAATACACCTTTCCAGGTTAAGTTGAACGTTACGTCAAAATGTTACATATTTTTATAAAATTCACTTTAATTTTGATGCATGGACTAATTCTCAGCATGCCTGTCCTTTTTATGCCTTTAGTACAGTCTATTAAACACCTTTTACACAGTCCTTATTCGTTTTTTCACATATAAACGAACGAAAGTTTTTGAGCACTTTGCTTCGACAAACATTTTACAGTCTACACAACAAATTGACCTTTGGTAGGAGTTTAAACACATCATATGGAATGAGGAGGGTCTCTTACATACTGTACATATGATTTTGCAGTCTAGAAGCACTTTTACACTAACAAAATTTACAAGATTTTAACGGAACAATAACTGTCAAGACTTATATGTCTAGTTAGGGAGGCTAGGAGTTAAGGGAAGATTTCAGAAATTTAAAAAAATCATAACAAGCAGAAAAACGAATGAATTTTGTATTTTTTTTCAATCTACTCTAAAAAATGTTAAGAGACACGTATTTTTTTTATCGGCGGAAAAACATATTTACGGGCTGAAATATACCCTCATAGTTCGCCCCCAAAACAATTTTTTCAAAATTTCTGGGGTTCTAATCAATATTTTGAAATGAAACAAAATGGAAATTACTTATGACAAAAAACAAATATTTCGCAAGTGATTCCGTGTTTGGGGGTGCTACCCTTATTATTTACTTCTGAAAAACTATATTTTTTATTTATAAAAAAATCATATTTACTCAAAAAGAATTAAAAATATGATTTATGTAAACAAATTGACAAAATTAAATTGACCTGTTTCCAGGTTTTCGTTAAAATCTCTGTTTAGGGGGTGAACAACAAATTTGAAATTGTTATAACTTTCTTATTAAAAATTAAAAAATATATCTATTTCTTTGAAAAGAAAGGTCACATTTTTTAGAGTAGATCGAAAAAAAAATTACAAAATTCATTCATTTTTCTGCTTGATTTTTTAAAATTTCTGAAATCTTCCCTTAACTTCCAACCTCCCTAACTCTGTTAATTTTAATAGTACAAGAAAAAGTTAAGAGACCATTTTTATGTAGAATTGTATGCTTTCACTTTTATACGAAACTATTTTTTGTAGCCCTTACCCGTTTTGAGTTATCTTGAAATACCCATTTGTCATTTTTCACCCTTGGCCGGGGGCTGAACAAAAAATTACTGTCACTTATTGTTATAACATACCTCAAACTAACTCATATCAAAAATTCAGGCAAGTTGACCAAATTTCGATTTAAAGGCTTATCTAATTGGACTATCTAGGGGTTATTTCTTTATCTTTTTTTGAGATATGACACAAATACTCAATCAGTTAAAAATAGTCAGAAAATTTCACAAATGAATTAACTAACTACAAGCAATTATAAAAATGTAATTTTAATAAAAACATGCTCAAGTATAACATTAACTATGTTTACTTATATAAAACATAATTGCACAAAAATAATACTATATAAACTAGAATATCTACAAAATATTTATTTACAGTATCAGACAAAATAAAATATTATTTTACAGTTTCAAAAGGAATTTTTAATTACAGCTATAAGTTACTGTCCGTATGTTATTATATACTACTTATTCTAATTACGTATCAGTACATTATAATGGCGTTATACTTTCTGGGGGCGTAATATTTCCTAACTATTGGTCACCGTACCATGTCACGTTAACAGAAGGATTAAAAGCAGAACTAGAACTATTGCTAAGCAGATTCTCCTCCAATAAATTTCCTGCAGATTCTCTTTTACAGCACTTAAATAAGGTTGGTAGAGTGATGATTTGTTATTCTCTGATACCAACTAGCTATACGAATTTAGAACATAATGATGAGTATTTTTTAGCGGTGAATGCTCGGAATATGCACTTGGATACTGCATATCTGCACAATGCATGTTGATTTGGGGTTGATAATACTGACCAGAATACAAAGTGTTGTTTTCCCACTGCTGGTTGTAATGGGGATATGATTGATACGATTGCAGTGATGGTATATACTGGTTCTGAACTGCAACCGCATGGTTCTGTAAACGGTCAATTACTGACTGTTCTAATTTGATATTCTGCATTTTCGGTGAGCAACTGTTTGGACTGCAACTTCCGAATGAAGTAGTCGGAGGGGAGTGACTTTCGTTTGAAGCCGTTGGTGAAGATTTGTTCTTCTGTTCCTTTTTAGATTTCATTCTTCGGTTCTGGAACCATATTTTGATTTGTCGGTCAGAGAGGGAAAGCGACTGAGCTAACTGAATCCTTCTTGGACGACACAGGTATTTATTGTAATGAAATTCTTTTTCAAGTTCGATCAGCTGCGAAGATGTATAAGCAGTTCGAGCTCTCTTGGTTCCGGTACTGTTAGTGTTAAGCTTTGGAACTGGTGGTGGAACATCAACTTGTTCTGAAAAATACAAATGAGACAGTTATACACAACAGTTTTTAACACTTAAGTAAAACATCTTCGAATTAATGCAAGATAATGCCTAATAATGATGTTTCATTGGACGTGGAAATATAAACAAAGCAGAAGTATATAAACTCTAAATAAATGAATTTTAAATATGTCTCTTCCACAACGGGATGCTGCAGTATAAAAAATGTACATTATAAAAAATAATTATCAGTTCTTATTATTATAATTGAATTAAACATTTTGAACGTTCAAAATAGTTTAAAATAAGCAAAGAGTTACTTACCACGCAACTGGTCATCGCTATCTTGTTGCTGCATACAATTATAAGATGGTTGGATTTCATACTGCATCTGACATGGAGCTAAATGATTTCTATCCGCTGACGTTTCATCGTTTTGTCGTTCTATGTGCCAATCAGGACTATGTTGTATCTTAATTTGGGCAGTCTGCGGGTGGAAAATAAAACGTAAATTGTATTTATATTCCATTAAATATTGAAACAATTATACTTCTACAGCATATACTTGTACTTACCACTTGGTTTTCCATTGGATATGAACACTGGCTCACTGGCAAATAATTTTCAGTATTGATACTATTCAAATAATCTTCATTACAATCTGGATATGGAGGTAAAGAAGGCTTAAAATCACTAGAACTTGACGAAATAGGCTGCGTATTCCAACAAATATCGTTCGTTTGAGGGGATGCAAATTCTGACGTACTAGGTGGCGTTATCGGTTTGTAAAAATTTGAAAAATATTCACCAATTTCACAGTTTGGATGGCTATTTTCTTGGTTTTCAGAAATAGGCACCTGTTGATCTGGTGGCAACTCAAAACTTGAATCCTGCGGTATTTCCGTCGTCAATATTTCACACAAATCACTGTCCGTAATACTTGCAAAATCACTTATCACATAACTTTTTTGGCCTAAAGACATGATGTCGTTTAGAAAAGTATATCACGAATGTATTAGATATCAATTACAGTGGCATTTATTTAAATAATATACCACACCCCTTTTCTCAATATTGGCAAATACGGCCAATGGCAACAGGGATGTTAAAGTAATTACCTCCCCTCAGGTACTTTAAATACTTTTATTGGTATAAACAGAACTTGCTGTAATAAAAGTAATCAGTTTGCACCAATGCAGGTTAATTTCTAGATAAATTTTATTTGGAATATTACCTATCTGGAATTAATCCCTGACAGAGAGGGAGAAGGCATATTTTTTCTAAAATATGTCGTGAAACTGATATCACACAACTGTACCATCAATGTTTTTAAAGGATTATAAAAAAAATAAAATTTTACAATTTTGAATGAAAAGCCATTAGGTTTACTGCTCTGTGTTATAAATGCTTTCAATATGTTACTCTTAATAACGAATTTCTAAAAAAGTTCTCCAACTAAAGTAAATTAAAACATTTTATTCTCCTTTTGTGTATTTTAATTTTTATTTTATACTGTCTTTTTATTTATATCTGATTTTTATTTTATCTAAATAGTTAGAGATAGGTAGTCATGTGAACTAAATAAATTTATTTTCCAACTGCTTAAGTAATTGTAAAATAAATTTCCAAGATGTCTCAGAAACTATTGATTGAGATTTATATTAACTAATTGAGGCTTGTGTCAATTTTATTTGATTAATTTTGGTACCTATTACGGTACACAATTATATTGATATGTAACTTCATAGTTCGTATCAAAAGTCTATCCGCAATAATTTTTAAGATGCAAGCGCACCAAGCGGCGAAAGCAGTAAGCTCCGAAACAAGGTAATTTTGACATTGCCGTTCGCGTTTACACATTCCTTTGAACAACATTTGTCTTATTTGCCATTATTATTAGTAATTTTGTTATCAAACTGCGGTTATTTCATTTTTGTGTTATTTTATAGGTTTCAAATATTTCATAAATAAATTTTAAGGCAAGTATTTATGTCTACTTTATTTGTCTCTAGCATTACAATTTAATGTACATTTTATTAGGTTATAACTATGAACTTATCCGTTGTGGAATACATTTCCTATTTACATATATGCTAACGAAAACTCTCGTTGTATATTAGAAGGAGAGGCAGTTTTTACGGCTGATCATGTGGTACTATATGGGAAAATTGAGCAAAGTTAATTTAAATTTAGAAATTTATATTATGTCTGCAGACTAGTGCCCTTACTTACTAACAACCCTGATGAAATTCAGGGAGTATTATCTATCGGCAATAATATTTTGAAAATTTCTTCAATGGTTTGATGAAAACTTAATTCTGGATTTTTCTTGGACCATGAAGAGCAGCCTTGAACTGAACAATAATAGCTTGACAGTTTCTTCTTTCTATCCATAATTTCTGAAATTTTTCTCACACTGTTTTCTTAAAATAACAGTGTTCAAAAAACGAACACTAAATACAGTTTTAAATAAAATACAAAACGAAATGTCACACACAGAAGAAATATTTACCTTGTTTCGCTAGTATCACTTGTCACCGCCAGAGGGCGAGCTCTTAGCTGCATTCGCGAATAGAAGCATAAATGAAATGGATATTCATCAAAAATAGTTAGAGATAGGTAGTCATGTAAACTAAATAAATTTATGTTTCAACTGCTTAAGTAATTTTAAAATAAATTTCCAAGATGTCTCAGAAACTACCAGTATTTAGATCGTTAGTTGAAGTCTCATTAATATATGACGATACTGAAAATACGCGTTGCTTACCAAATTTAGCACGTGCAAAATTTTTTATTTTTGACTTTATGGAAAAAAGTTAAATATAAAAGCAATGAAGTCTGTCAACAATAAACTGCAAATTCTTTCAATCGTCACGCAATACTTTGCGATATTTTAAAAAAGCGAAGAGGTTTCTCATGGAAAAATTGCAAACGTTTAATTTAATTTTAAAATTTTGTTTTTCAACCTGAACGCTTCATGGATTTGGCGTTGGCGGAATTTGTTATCTAAGAAGATGCTACTTTCAATTCATTTTTCCCATGCTCAAAGGCGTTGTATGGTTTCGATCATTAGTTGTTTTTGTACCTAAATAGTTGTATTAACATATGCATTTACTGATAATTTAATTTTTCAAATTTAATTTGTTTAAAAATGACTGAAAAAATTTTAATATTTATTAAATTGTTAAGATAGGTAATTATTATAAAATGAAACAGTAACCTCTATAGTTTAGTTAGTACTATTTTTCTTCGAATTAAAAAAAAATGTTGTTTTAAGTTGATTGACAGCTGAGATATTTTTTTTATTTAACCGCAGTGACCTTAATTATTAATATTAAGAGCCGAAATTTGTCGAGTGTATACATTAAGAACTATATTTTCATGTCCTACATTAACATTAAGGTGAATTCAACTATTTAATTGCAAAAAAGAAGATAGCGGCGATGCGTTCTATTACTCGGTCTAGCGAACGCGTGGGGAGAGCGAGGTGCAACGCGCTTGGTTGCGCGCAGGAAAATGATCGAGCGGCTTCAGATCGATGGAGCTGGAAAAATTAGCCATATCTCGGTTAATAATGAACCTATCGAGATGATTCTTTTTTTAATTTGTGGTATCGCGAAAATTCAGGAGCATTGAAGCTATTGTATTAACATTATTTCAACCCGAGATTTAATTTTTTATTTAGCTTCGCTCTTCCCACTCGTTCGCTAGACCGAGTAATGGAACGCATCGCCGCTATATTCTTTTTTGCAGTTAAATAGTTGAATTCATCTTAATGTTAATGTAGGACATGAAAATATAGCTCTCCAAATTTCCGCTCTTAATAATTAAGCACACTGTGATTAAAAAAAAATTGTCTCGGCTTCTAATCAACTTAGAACAAGGATTATTTTTTAAATTCGAAGAAAAATAGTATTAACTAAACTATAGACGTTACTATTTGATTTTATAATAGTTATCTATCTTAACAATTTAATAAATATTAACATTTTTTCAGTCATTTTTAAACAAATAAAATTTGAAAAATTAAATTCTCGGTAAATGCATTTGTCAATACAACTATTTAGGTACAAAAACAACTAATGATCGAAACCCTACATTACATTAATTATTAGCAATTGAAGAAAACGGCCATTTTCGACTATTTTTGAGCTCTTGCGCATAAACAAATAATCGGAATTTAATCGGACTTATCTTATTTTACAGCTTTATTTAATTCCTACCTCTTTGTATAAACCTATTTTCTCTATGAATAACAGTTTTTTACGCGAGTTAAAAAACCACTTTTCCATAACTTTGTCCATTGTTTCTGAACAATATTCCGCAAAAAAACTTCTAATAGTATTTTTTTTCCGAAAAAAAGCCTATAATGATTGGCCTAATATGAAAATATTGAAAATCGGAGAGTTCGGGTTGGGGTAGTTTCCTTGTTAGATTCTCCTTCGTCTGATTTAACCTAACAATAATTTTTGGATGTATACAATGAGAACAACGTAGATCCCAATACGGATCCTTGAGGCACGCCACAATTAGTATTAATGTAATTCGAAATATCGTTTTAAAGTACTACCCTTTGTTGTCTACCTACTAAGTAGTTAGAAATAAATTGTACTGCAGATATATCAAAACCAGCAAACATTAAAATATTTTCCAGAATGTCATGACTAATTGCGTCAAATGCTTTCGAATAGTCGAGTAAAACTAAAATCGAACATAATCCAGAATCTGTAGCCCTAAAAATATGGTCTGTGACATTTAATAAAGCAGTAGAACAACTATGTCCCTCTCGAAAACCAGACTGTTCAATAGACAGTAGGTATGTTATTAGTAGTTAAATGATTCATAATTTGATCATTTACAATGTACTCTAAAATTTTAGATAAAGCAGGAAGAATAGAAATAGGTCTTAAATCTTTTAGTTCTCTAGGTGTGTGTTTTTTTTTTGGAAGAGGAATAACATTCGACATTTTCCAAACTTGGGGATAAACTGAAAATTCCAAACAATAATTTATTATGTGACAAATGTATTTTAAAAGAAAAGGGCAGCACAAAACAATGAAATCTATATGTATTCCGTCAGAACCAATTGCTTTAGATTTAATCTTAAGTAAATACTCAAATACTTCACATTCAGTAGTAACTCTGAATTTAAGTTTTGAGGATATGTCTGATTTAACAGAGTCATAATAGTGAAGATCATTTGTATTATTGTTAGCTACTGCCGAACTTACGAAATAATTATTTATTAAATTCGCATTAGACAATTCAGGTGGTATTTCTATATTAGTTTTTTTATTATAAATATTTAAACAATTGATTTTTTTCCAAGTCTTAGTTCCACTAATTTCGATAAACATAAAAAAGCTTTTTTTTTCACGTCTGACAGTTGTAATAGTAAAATTTTTTAAATATTTGAAATTTAGCCAGTCATGTGAAGTTCTAGTTTTTTAAAATTTATTTAATGCCTTATCTATAATTTTTATCAACTCCTTAATATCGTCTGTAAGGTTTATAGTTTTTGTTGAAAATCGAGTTTTTAGAGGTGCATGTAAGTCCATTAAAATAGTAATATTTTCGTTAAAAAACCTCACTTTATCATTGATATTATTTGAGTCGAAAATATTATTCCAGGGTATAGATTAACAAAAATTAACTCATGATTAGCAATTTCAGCTACTGTAATATTCCCGTGGTCACTATAACATAACCCATCAGAAAGCAATATAAAAGAGCGATAATGCAGA